AAATACATATTATTGTTCGACAACGCGTCTCGTTTATGTATATTGCCGTGCTGGCTGCGTGGTCCCGTTCATCTTGACACGTTCGCGGAGCGTGACACGTGCGATCGCGGAATCAACAACCAACAAGGGCATCGCGCCGTTTTCCCTCGTGTTGGAAGTCGGAGCCAGCGGGCTCAGTCTGGTCTGTACGTCTTAAGAGATCACTCTCTGCGCCGAAATCGCATACGATCGATCGAAGTCAGTCTCGGCTATCCTGCGTGAAATCGAAGCAAGTATCGCGGGAACGTTGTAATCGCCACCACCTGTTATAATTACAAATACACGGTGCCACTGGAGTAATCAAAATTCTAAAACGGTGCATTATTTTGCCCTACGAGTGTGCTTCAGCCAGATTTGAATCTGGACTCCCTCGCTCCTCGCTCCTTGCTTCATTACGCCTATGCACTGTCTCGCTTCCGCCGGTTATCCCTCTCGTTCTCTCTGAACGATCCCGGCAACCTCAGTTCAGCGTGAAAATTTGCTCCGCGCCCGAACATAAAAGTTGGTCCTTCGAGCCGGATGAGGTGAAATCTGTGCGGACTTAGTGCATACATACACTGACTGACTTCGTCTCTCTTATACTCGCCATCATGAGTGAGCTCTTAGTACAGCAGCAAGCTCTGCTGCACTCAATCTCTCGATCTCTTGAAAACTTCAAGAAGATTGGGAAGAATAACTACACCGCCGCAAAGATTCGGTCGAGAATAACCAGCCTTAAGGAGACGTGGTTGCAATGCGTTCAAGTTAACGCACAGCTGTTGCAAGCCTGCCCTGAGGACAACCGAGCTGCCTTTGACTACTTCAAGCACCATCAATTTGATGCAATCGAGGACATCTACCAAGGTACGCTGGACTACATGGTGGAGTGTCTGGAGGAGATCGAGCCGCCAAGGACATCCGACTCCGGGAGAGTCGACCTTTCATCATCAGGTCATGTACATCAGCGTGATTATTTATCATCCCTCTCGTTATCGCATCTGCCGCCGATCAACCTCCCTACATTTTCGGGAAAATGTGAAGAGTGGGAAAGCTTTCGCGACCGCTTCACGGCGCTCATTATCGATAACAAGGACTTGTCAGCATTCGCGCGCATGCATTTCTTGTCATCGAATCTTTCCGGTCGGACACTCGAGTCAATTAAAAACATCCCGATTACCGCGGACAATTTCAAGGTCGCTTGGAAAACGTTAACGACTCGATACGAAAACAAACGGCGTCTCGTCGAAGTACATGTTGCCGCATTATATAACCTTCCGACCGTTTCCCGCGTGTCATTATTTGAGCTAAACGAGCTGCGAGATAAGGCAAATCGCGCTGTCGCCTCATTAAAGAATTTGAAGCGGTCTCCAGAGGAGATGCTGAGCGACATCCTCGTATACAGTGTTTCACAAAAGTTAGATCCAGCGACACGCAAGGCGTGGAAGCTGAAAGGCGGGGATGACCCCACCATCCCGACATATGAGGATCTCGATCGGTTCTTAACGTCTCGCGCTCGCGCTCTAGAGGAGTTAACGCCGCTTAATATTTCGAAGACGAATCGGTCGCCAAAGGTGACTAGCGCAACTGCATCGCAGCTCCCAATTCATGCCCCATATGTAACGCGTCTCATTATTTAAATAAGTGTCAACAATTCATGAAGAAGAGTCCGAGTCAACGCCTGGAGATTTAATCGATTTAATTGATGTCTAAATTGCTTAAGCGCGAAACACGCCGCGCAATCTTGTACGAGCAAATACGCATGTAGAACGTGTCAGAAAAAACACCACTCCATGCTCCACGTTGACGCTGCCTCATCTTCACTCAATTCAAGTGAGAATGTCATTTCGGTCCCTTCGACTGCGCAGTCGGCCGCGAATGATGCTCCGCCGTCAACGGCGGTTGCCTTATTTTTGAAATCAGACACTCATGCTCGATCTCCGGTTCTGCTAACCACTGCGCGAGTTGAAATTCGCTCCCCCTCTGGTCGCACATGTGTCGCGCGAGTGCTGCTCGATTAGGGGTCCGAGGTGACATTCATAACGGGAAGACTTGCTCAAGTCTTAAAGGTGCGTCGCATTAAAATGCCTATTTCGATCTCAGCCGTCGGCTGCGTCGATGCCGGCACGTGTCGTTATGCCGCTCATATCGAAATCCATCCGATAGGACGATCACATCCGGGCTTAACGACTATGGCTTCAATACTAAACTCGCTCACAAATTATTCTCCCGCGCCTATATCGCCTCATAATTCATGGAGTCATCTCGCCGATCTCACTCTCGCAGATCCGGATCCTATGAACTCCGACCCCATAGACATCCTTATAGGTGCCGATCTGTATAGTGAGCTCATTCTCGACGGGGTACGTAAGGGAAGCAGCGGCCAGCCCATCGCTCAAAATACAATTCTCGGATGGGTACTCTCGGGTCCGATGTCTACGTTGCCGTCGTCAAGTCGAACGATCACCGTTCAGCATTGTTTGAGCTCGCTCTCTCTCGATCGGGAGCTTCAAAACTTTTGGGAGATCGAGGAAGTTTCTCGGCTCACGACATTGAGTCCGGAGGACCAGCAATGTGAGGAGCATTTTCTCAATACTCATTCTCGCTGTTCTAATGGCCGCTATGTCGTGCGCCTCCCCTTCAAACGGGGCCCTCCGATCGACATCGGAGATTCTTATCATGTCGCGGAACGTTGCTTGAAAAGCCTGCATCGGCGGCTGTCAAATAATGTCGAGTTGAAGACGGAGTACACGGAGTTCATGAGAGAGTACGAGCGACTCGGACACATGCGACAATGTCCCCTCTCCGCGCCCTTCTCCGATCAATGCGTCTACATCCCACATCATGCAGTCATAAAGGACCATAGTGTAACTAGTCATTTGAGAGTCGTTTTTAATGCTTCAAGCCCCAGTTCAAACGCGACTTCCCTTAATGATCATCTGTTGACCGGTCCGAAATTGCAAGCAGACTTAGCCGCGGTCCTTCTAAGGTGGCGGCAGTTTAGATACGTGTATTCCGCGGATATCACGAAAATGTATCGACAGATCCAAGTGGATCCACGTGATATTGACTACCAGCGAATCTTGTGGATGGACGACAACGAGATCATACAAGCGTATCAACTATTAACAGTGACATACGGTACTGCCTCCGCTCCGTATCTGGCGTTACGCACGCTGCTCCAACTCTGCGAAGACGAAGGTCGTGACTTTGCATTGGCGGTTGCAATTCTTCTAGAAAATCGTTTCGTCGACGACGCCCTTTTCGGCGCCGATGATATCCCTCTCCTGCGCCAGATGCGCGATCAATTGTGCGCATTGTTACGTCGCGGACAATTCGAGCTGAGGAAATGGTCAAGCAATTAGCCAAAGTTGCTTAATGATATTGCTATCGAGAATCACAGGCTAGCATGTAGTAAAACGTTGCAGATCAATGAACAATTAAAGATTCTCGGAGTCAGCTGGAGTCCCTCTCTGGATGTTTTTCAGTTTCAAGTATCAATTCCATCGTCTCCCTCAAAGACCAAGCGGGCGATTCTTTCTACGATCGCCAAACTTTTCGATCCACTGGGCTGGGTAACGCCAGTGACCATCTCCGCCAAAATCTTCCTGCAGCAATTGTGGCAGCTTAAGCTTGACTGGGATGAGGCTCTCCCGAGTCCTTTCTTAACGCAATGGGAAACGATACAAGCGTCTTCAACAGAGCTCGATGGCCTTCAGCTTGAGCGCTGGATACGTCGGGGGTCAGATACGGTACAATGTGAACTTCACGGGTTTTGCGATGCGTCCACAGCAGCCTACGCTGCCGCCGTCTATATTCGCGTCGCTTCTTTTGCTGGAGAAATTATCACCATGTTGTTAGTCGGGAAATCCAAGGTTGCTCCAGTAAAGTCGTTAAGTGTCCCACGTCTCGAGCTGTTGGCTGCCGTTTTATTGTCCAAACTAATGGAGTTTGCTCGAACGTCGCTTCATCTCTCTAATGTGCCATGCCACTGTTGGACGGATGCTAAGGTCGTACTCGCGTGGTTGGCTCAACATCCCTCGAAATGGAAGACCTTCGTATCGAATCGCGTTTCCGAGATTTAGACTCGACTTCCATCCGCCTCATGGCAACACGTTCCCACCGATGAGAATCCCGCTGACTGTGCGTCTCGAGGGATTCACGGCCATCGGATTACGGCTCACCATTTATGGTGGCACGGACCATCGTGGTTGCGACTTCCGCTGTCCGAATGGCCTTTGCTAGTCGATCTAGCGTCACATGAAACCTCCGTGGAAGAGAATCCGCGAACTCTCTCACATCTCAGTAAAGCTGTTGAACCGTGAGATCTCGCGTCTCGGTACTCATCGTGGCCGAGACTCATAAGAATCACAGCCTACACTCTCCGTTTTATCTCTCGGTTACGCAGTCGCTCACGGTCTCGCGCCACTGCCAAAGAGAACCCGTCGGCGCTTTCAGCGGACAAGAGCCCTCTGCTATCACACAATCTTTTCCTCGACGAAGAGGAAATAATTCGCGTTGGCGGGCGGCTGGCCAACGTCCCAATCCGATTTCAAACGCAACATCAAATTATATTAGCCTCTCATCCCTTGGTTACGTTAATAGTGCAGCATGCTCATCTGCGCTCTCTCCACGCCGGGACGCAGCTCACCGTGGCCACGTTACGCCAAGACTTTTGGCTCCTTTGAGCTCGAAATATCGGCAAATCAGTTATTCATCGTTGCGTTGTCTGCACTCGAGAAAGAGCCATAGTGCCCACCCAGCTTATGAGGAATTTTCCCCACGTGCGCGTCTCTCCTCTCACTCGCGCCTTTCTTCACTGCAGTTTTGACTACGCCGGTCCGGTGTTAATTAGAGCCATGACCGGCCGCGAAATCGCATCTCGAAAGGCATACATCGCTCTGTTCGTTTGCCTGGCCACCCGTGCGATCCATTTGGAAGTTGTCGAGGGGTATTCAACACCTGCATTCCTGGGAGCTTACTCCCGATTTTGCGTTCGTCGAGGGCTTCCTGAATCAATTTATTCTGACAATGGCACGACCTTCGTCGGAGCAGATCGCGAGCTGACCACCGCGTTTCGCGCGTCTCTCCGGGATCCGAATTTTTTAAATACAACTGCTTCTGATCGCGTTTCGTGGCATTTTATACCTCCCTCCGCTCCCCACTTCGGCGGCCTATGGGAGGCTGGCGTGCGCAGTGTAAAACATCATCTTCGCCGCGTTGTAGGGTCCCACACTATGACCTTTGAAGAGTTCTCTACTCTTTTGTGCAATATCGAAGCCTGCCTCAATTCCCGGCCGCTCGCTCCCCTCACGGACTCCGCCGACGATTGTGAGCCGCTCACTCCCGGCCATTTTTTAATAGGATCCGCCCTCACTGCTAGTCCTGAAACCTCACTCCTTAACATTAAGGAAAATCGCCTGTCGCGCTGGCAGCTAGTGCGACAACTTACCGAGCGTTTCTGGAAAAGTTGGCAAACCGATTATGTCAACACGTTCCAACAAAGAGCGAAGTGGCGTCGGGTTGTCACTGACGGTGTTCGCGTAGGCCGTTTGGTGTTGATTCAGAATCCTGCGCGTCCGCCTTGCAAATGGGAGTTAGGACGCATAACTCATTGTCACGCGGGCCAGGATGGCTTAGTTCGAGTTGTAACTGTAAAAACCGCGTTTTCCGAGTACAAGCGCCCGATAGGAAAGCTCTGTTTATTACCAATCGATCTCGAACACAGCGATAATCAAATGTAATTGTGATTTGACATACTGTTCGCCTCGAACGCCTCTCTCCTCATTGTAAACCGTTATATGGAACCGAGGGTCTCGAGGCGGGCGGTATATTGAAGACTAGACAATTCGGAACGATTGTTTCAGATTTATATTCAATGCATCAAGTTCAATTCGTAACATATGTAAGTGACATATCGATCGCCTCGCCTATCCTTCCTTCGACTCTTCTTTATTGGTCGACCATCTCTGGCCGCTACATGAGGAGGCCTTGCTCCTTTCAAGATCAGCAAACCTTTCGAAACGATAGTTTCGAGGCGGGCGGTATGTTCAGGGTTGACTAACAAATTTATAATTTATTATCAGATGTTCAATAATTCTAGTTTTATGTTATAAGTAGCGTGTAACGACTTCGAGTCAAATTTATGTTTTCTTAGTCAAATACATATTATTGTTCGACAACGCGTCTCGTTTATGTATATTGCCGTGCTGGCTGCGTGGTCCCGTTCATCTTGACACGTTCGCGGAGCGTGACACGTGCGATCGCGGAATCAACAACCAACAAGGGCATCGCGCCGTTTTCCCTCGTGTTGGAAGTCGGAGCCAGCGGGCTCAGTCTGGTCTGTACGTCTTAAGAGATCACTCTCTGCGCCGAAATCGCATACGATCGATCGAAGTCAGTCTCGGCTATCCTGCGTGAAATCGAAGCAAGTATCGCGGGAACGTTGTAATCGCCACCACCTGTTATAATTACAAATACACGGTGCCACTGGAGTAATCAAAATTCTAAAACGGTGCATTATTTTGCCCTACGAGTGTGCTTCAGCCAGATTTGAATCTGGACTCCCTCGCTCCTCGCTCCTTGCTTCATTACGCCTATGCACTGTCTCGCTTCCGCCGGTTATCCCTCTCGTTCTCTCTGAACGATCCCGGCAACCTCAGTTCAGCGTGAAAATTTGCTCCGCGCCCGAACATAAAAGTTGGTCCTTCGAGCCGGATGAGGTGAAATCTGTGCGGACTTAGTGCATACATACACTGACTGACTTCGTCTCTCTTATACTCGCCATCATGAGTGAGCTCTTAGTACAGCAGCAAGCTCTGCTGCACTCAATCTCTCGATCTCTTGAAAACTTCAAGAAGATTGGGAAGAATAACTACACCGCCGCAAAGATTCGGTCGAGAATAACCAGCCTTAAGGAGACGTGGTTGCAATGCGTTCAAGTTAACGCACAGCTGTTGCAAGCCTGCCCTGAGGACAACCGAGCTGCCTTTGACTACTTCAAGCACCATCAATTTGATGCAATCGAGGACATCTACCAAGGTACGCTGGACTACATGGTGGAGTGTCTGGAGGAGATCGAGCCGCCAAGGACATCCGACTCCGGGAGAGTCGACCTTTCATCATCAGGTCATGTACATCAGCGTGATTATTTATCATCCCTCTCGTTATCGCATCTGCCGCCGATCAACCTCCCTACATTTTCGGGAAAATGTGAAGAGTGGGAAAGCTTTCGCGACCGCTTCACGGCGCTCATTATCGATAACAAGGACTTGTCAGCATTCGCGCGCATGCATTTCTTGTCATCGAATCTTTCCGGTCGGACACTCGAGTCAATTAAAAACATCCCGATTACCGCGGACAATTTCAAGGTCGCTTGGAAAACGTTAACGACTCGATACGAAAACAAACGGCGTCTCGTCGAAGTACATGTTGCCGCATTATATAACCTTCCGACCGTTTCCC